TTCTGATGTGCTGGAGTTCAAATTCAGAGCCTTGCATAAGCTAATCAAGTACTCTACACCTAGTTACTCTGTAGTCCACACACTGAATTCCTAAGGGTGGTAGGCAGATTGCTGTGAGTTCAAGGCTATGCTGAGCAGAATGGGGGCTGTTGTCCCCACACACAAAAAATTTTAGAAAGTATGTCTGTAAGTTCATGTGTGTCAAAGATATGAAATATTTTAAGTTTTAATAGATTGTCTTTGATTCTTTACCATAAACACAAATATCCGTTTAGGAATTAAAGGAATTTTTTCCTGGTAATTAACATTTTTCTTTGAATAGTTTGGTTGTTTGGAATGGTCAGGTGCTTGTTAATCACTAACATGCTGGTTGTTAATTGCTATTTTTATGTGTCCCATGTGGGATGTAACTACAAAATAGTAATTTTCTTTTTCTTTTTTTTTTTAACCATTTCCCTGTGCAACTCTGGCTGTCCTGGAACTCACTCTGTAGATCAGGCTGGACTCAAACTCACAGAGATCTGCCTGCCTCTGCCTCCTGTCTCGTAAAAAAAAAAAAAAAGAGGCTCTTGCTGTTGGCACATTAGGAGATGATGCACACAGTGGGGGCAGTCAGTCCAAGCTTGCTTGCATCTTTGGGAGCAGCCTTGAAGTTCATGTAGAACTCTAGGGACCTAAAGTAGCCACACAGCTGTAGAAAATGAAAGGCCAAACTTGGAGGACTCTCATCTGGTTTCAGATGTGTGGTTTGCATTTGTATGTGGATCAGTGGGAAGAACTGAGAAGCCAGAAGTAATGTGCCTTCTCAGTGCCCCACCCATCTTCAGTAGAGGTGCCATAGCCATTCATGTGGAACCTCTCTTCAGCAGACAGTGCCTATACAACTGGCTGTCCACACACAGAAATACAATTTGGATCCACAGTTCACAGATAGAGTTCCTAGAGAAAAACAGACAACAGAACTCATAAACCAAGTAATTTCTTAGATTTGACACAAGCAGTAACAACAAACTCATATTGGATCTCATTGAACACTAGGCCTGAAGTGATGGCACATATGAGCCCAGCATTTAGAACTCGATTTTTGTGTCTTTTGGGGGGGGGGTGGCGTTTACTACAAGTTCCAGATCAACCAGGGATTTTTTTTTTAAAGTTTTGTTCCAGCTCCTGAGCACCCCACCCAAAGCCCCCACTGCCATCCCATTGTCTTTTTAAATAGTTATTTATTATGAATAATCCTGTCTCCATGTCTGTCTGCAGGCCAGAAGAGGACACCAGATCTCATTACAGATGGCTGTGAGCCATCATGTGGTTGCTGGGAATTGAACTCAGGACCTCTGGAAGAGCAGTCAGTGCTCTTAACCTCTGAGCCATCTCTCCAGCCCCCAACCAGGGATTTTAAAAATTTGTTTTCTTAGCCGGGCGTTGGTGGCGCACGCCTTTAATCCCAGCACTCGGGAGGCAGAGGCAGGTGGATCTCTGAGTTCGAGGCCAGCCTGGTCTGTAAGAGCTGGTTCCAGGACAGCCTCCAAAGCCACAGAGAAACCCTGTCAAAAGCCCCCTCACCCCTCCAAATAGGGCTGTGAAACAAATGTGTAGAGTTAATCACACTGAAGCTCTCTTCCGTTGTTACAAAAGACCATTGCAACCCTTTTCAGCCTTTGGCACCTACTCTACTACATAGTGCAATAATGACCAGACATGGGTTTCCAAACAGGTTAGAAGTATCCAGTTGGGATGACTAGAGAAGAATCCGTTATGACCACAATTCCTGTGTAGCAGCTCTGATGCACATGCGGGATGATTGGACTAAATGGTGGGGAGCTCAAGTACAGATGAGAGCATGAGGGGTTGGCCTCTGATGCCAAGATTAGTGTCCTCCTAAATAGGGATGATTGTAAGCTTCTCTCCCACCTAGTCTCTCCTATCAGACTACCCCATCACTAAGAAACCTTCAGGCTATCTGTGGTATTGTGTCATGGGAACACCTTAGAGGAACTTGGAGGAGCACAGGGCCAACCTTGGCACAGTGAGTTGGTGTAGCAGTGTCAGCTGCACAGAGTGTGGCTGACTGAGAGTTTTGTTCTTATTGTTGTTTTCGTTGTCAAATGCACCAGGTAACCATGCTGGATGCAGCGATGACAGATATGTCCCATGTCAGCTACTCTCAAATTTCATAGTCAAAGTCTTCTGTAATCTAGATGCCTTATTGCTCATAATCCAGATGTCTGTCAGAATTATTACTCTAGTTTATTTTTCAAGCAGGGAATGCAAGTATTTTACTTCTCCCTGTCCTATTTTTGTTGTTGTCTTTTGGATAACTGGCTTGCTTTGTTTGTTTGTTTATTGCTTTGCCTCCAGAGTGCTGGGATTAAAGACATGAGCCACTATACACGGCTTGTTTTGCTGACTTTTTGAAACAAAGTCTCACTTCCTGTTGCCCAGGTTGACCTCATACAGGTAGCAGTTCTCCTGCCTGCCCCCCCCCCCCCAATATTCTGATAGACAGTGAATTGCCTTTATGAGTGACTCTGTCTTTTTGTGCTACCAGTTTCATTTCCTTGGAGCTACACCCTAGGTGAGATTGGTAAACCCTGTAGAAATGATGTTTTTAATTTCTGGGAATCCATCCATCCCATTTTCCAAAGTGCCTGTGCCCAATGAACTGTGCCTTCAACATACCCCTTTTCATATCCTGGTCAGCACTTATCTCTTGTGGTTTTGACAATGGACATCCTACTAGGTATAAGGTGATCTCTTCTTGTGGCTTTGCTTTGTGTTTTTCTGAAGATTTTGTGATGTTATGCACCCTTTTTTTTCTTTAAATACTTATTTTATGTATATGACTGTTCTATCTCCATGTACACCTGCACACCAGAAGAGGGCATCATATTCCACTCTAGGTGGCTATGAGCCACTATGTGGTTTCTGGGAATTGAACTCAGGACCGCTGGAAGAGCAGCCCTTGCTCTTAACCACTGAGCCATCTCTCCAGCCCCCTGATAATATGCACTTGTTGGCAACTTGAGTTGGGAGCTTCAGATGTGCACTTACTTGTTTGCTTAGCTGGGAGCCTTGAGGTAGGGTCTCATGCTGTAGTCCAGCCTGGCTCGGAACTCTTAGCAGTCCCCTGCTCAGTCTCAAGTTCAGAGATTATGAACACTGCCTATAAGGCAACTTGTAAGCAACAGGCTTTCCTGAGTCTGCCAGGTAAAGGATGCTCAGCTGACTAAGGTAACCTCAGCTGACTCTGACTGGAAGTGGTGTGTTTGTTTTACTATATTTTATTTATGTGTGTGTCATGGGCTTATATTTGCCATAGTGTGTGCAGAGGTCAAAGGACAACTTTTGGGGCTGAAGAGATGGCTTGGTGTTTTAAGAGCACTGAATGCTCTTCAAGAGGACCTGGTTCTGTTCCCAGTACCTGTAACGTGGCTCATAGCATCAGTAACTACAGTTCCAGGGATCCATTGCTTCCTGGCCTCTTGGTGCATTCAGTACACATATACATGCTGGTGAAATAGTCTATGTAAGTTAACAATAATAAATCTTGGTTTGTGGGTTTTTTTTTTGTTGTTGTTTTTTTTTGTTTTTTTTTTTTTTTGAGACAGGGTTTCTCTGTGTAGCTTTGGAGCCTGTCCTGGAACTCACTCTGTAGACAAGGCTGACCTCGAACTCACAGAGATCCACCTCCTCTGCCTTCCAAATGCTGGGATTAAGGTGTGTGCTACCCAACACCAGGCTTAAATCTTGTTTTACAAAAGGACAGACTGTCTCCTTCCACCATGTGAGACCCAGGATTGAACTCAGATGGCCAGACTTGGCAGCAAGTGCCTCTACCTGCTAAGCCATCCTTAGGGCCGGGTTTAAAGAAATACAGTGTTCTGTCTCACTGGGGAGGAAGACAGCCTCCACGCTGCTTTGAGTAGCCTTTAATAGAAGGTGGTTATCTGTCTTTTCACATACTTATATTCAGTTATTCCCTTTTTTTCATTTTTTTATTTCAATTATTCTTTCATTAAGAATTTTATCTTAAACTGGGTGGTGGTGCATGCCTTTAATCCCAGTAGTTGGGAGACAGAGGCAGGAGGATCTCTGTGAGTTCGAGTCCAGCCTGGTCTACAGAATAAGTTCTAGGACTATTTCATAGAGAAACCATATCTCAAAAAAATGGACGGGGGGATAAAAAAGAAAATATTTTGATGGACCAGCAGTTAAAAGCTCTTTCATAGGACCTGGGTTCAATTCCCAGCACCCTCACACAGATATATATTCAAGTAAAATACCAGTGCACATAAAATAATAAATTTAAAAAGAAAAACCTCTTTGGCAGTTAAGTTGTTGGTCTAGTCTAGTAGGTAAAGGCTGAGACAAGATTTAGATTCAAAACCCCAACCCAGGTTAAATTTCTTTAAGGGAAGGAGGAGAAAGGAAAAGAGGTGGTGGTGGGGAGGGGCGGCGTGATTTGAAATTGAAACATAAATAAATAAGACCCAGCTGGCATATAGAGCTTGAAGTCCGTTGTAGACAGGCGTCCCTCACAAGGTGCTATGTTGAGTGATGTGAAGAGAACACGTGAAGGGGAGGGAGGGAAGGTGACTTCCTAGAAGAGGTGGCATTGGAGCTGAGTGTTGAAGAACCAACAGGAGTTTCCAGGGGACAGAGCACCTTACCCTCTTCATGGGGAGAGGGTAGGCTCCCCTCTTGTCTGAATTGATGCCTTTAAGGGTTAGGTGGCATTTGAAGGGATTCTGGGTGATCTTGGCCTGTCTGCCATTCTTCCTACCTGTTCTCTTCACTCTGAGATACTCCGTGACTTTTGTATGCTCCCAGAGAAGTCATTTGAAGTGTCAGTGCTGTGGCCTCCACCTGGTGGATCTGCCTGAGAATGCCCAACTGTGGCCTCTGAAGAGGACTGAGCCTCACAAGTAGCCAGCTTCAATAGTCATTGTGTTGGTGGTGCCTTAATTTATTTGAAATTCTTCAATCATGTGTTTTAGGAACTCGAATCATTTATGACCGAAAGTTTCTGTTGGATCGGCGTAATTCTCCCATGGCACAGACCCCGCCTTGCCATCTGCCCAATATCCCTGGAGTCACCAGCCCTGGCACCTTAATTGAAGACTCCAAAGTAGAAGTGAACAACTTGAACAACCTGAACAATCACGACAGGAAGCATGCAGTTGGTGAGGGGCTGGGCTGGGGAGTGGTGCTGGGGTGGACTGTCAGTTTACTGCAGACTGGGAAATGTTGCTTCATCAGAGCACAGCTATTTCAGTTGTGTGTTTCCTCTCCTCCTAAACATCTACTAAGATGCTTTCAGTTTCCACATAGTTGCTTGGGGGAAAACAAATCGGGATGGGAGCCAGATGTAGTGGTTTATGACTTCAGTCCCAACACTCAGGAAGCAGAGACAGGCAGATCTCTGTGAATTGGAGTCCAGCCAGGGCCCAGTCTTTTAAAAGAGGATGGTAACGCAAAAGTGAATTAGAACCATGCCTGGAGGAGTCTTTATTTGCTAGGGATCACCCTCACATAGACACAATGCACACACATGCTGCCCCTGCAAACTCCTTGCATGAACAAATGTGCACATGCACACATATACTCCAAAGCAGAATCTTAGACCTCCTGTTTCCAGCAAGCTCAGAAAATAAACCTGGCCAGCTGGTGGTGGAACACACTTTTAATCCCAGGTGGATCTCTGAGTTTGAGGCTACCCAGGGCTACACAGAGAAACCCTGTCTCGGAGAGGGAGGGAAAGACGGATGGGAAGAGGGAAGGTTTTATGTTCTCTGCTGCTCCAGTTGAAGTTTTTTGCTTTCATTTTGTTTCGGATTGGGGAGCATGGTCTTGCTCTTAGCCAAGGCTACAAAGAATTCACCATGAAGCTTAGATTGGCCTCAGACTTGCTACAGCAGTCTTCCTGCCTCAGCTTCCTGAGTGCCTGAATTATGGGTGTAAGTTGATGTCCCCCACTGCAAGTGTCCATGCAGAGCCTCTAGAATAGTGCTCACTTGAGTGACCAGGAGCTGCTGTGTGGTTGGTCTGTGGAAAAGCAACTGGAAACATCCCCTTGTACCTTTCCTGGTGTGACCACTCCCCTCTCCACACCTACCCCCAGTTGAGATTGATCAGCCAAACAAAATAAATGACGTTTTGTTGCTAAGACAGGGTCTTGCTATGTATCTCAGGCTCACCCAAAATTTAAGTATTGAATTTGAGTGATAGTGTTACACTTAGGAGTAGGTGTTGTGAGGCCCCAGAGAATGGGACAGTTTCTATTAATTTTGCCCTTTGCAGGTAGAAAAATTTGTTGAAAACAGCTTTGCTATTTCTTTTTGTCCTAAACTTCCCATTTCTTTCCCTCTAACCAGGAGATGAAGCTCAGTTTGAAATGGACATCTGATTGCTGCAGAGTCAAAGGAGGCTGCAGCGCGCAGCCCATGCGACCTAACTGGGCCAGTAGGAACGCAGTGAACCAAGAAGTGGCTGTTCCCTCTCCCCTCCCTGTAGGTGCCGAATGGTGGAAGATGTGCTGCATTTGACCACATCTTCCCTTGTCTCCTGCCCCTGCCCAGTTAAGTTTAGGATGAAAGCCCTTGGATTACTCTGTGGAACTGAGCAGCTGGTCCACAGAGGAAAGCAGTCCCTATAGCTTCCCTGGTCGTTTCCCAAGATTGTTCCTGCCCCCTTCAGATTCGCCCCAAATCCAGGGACTCTCTAAGAAGCACCTCTGCTTGGGGTATCTGGGGAGGGAAGGTTTGGTGCCCGCTGCTCTGCCTGTGCTCTCTGTCTTCCCTCCCTACATCCCATTGGTGATTCAGTGCTGGATGTGGGATCTTTAAACCATTTGGGGGAATGATAAACAATGAGCTGCTTGTCCTACCCCTGGAGGTGTTTGTCTTCAGTACTGGAGCTCAGCTCTTGTACCTACTGCAGCTCCAACTGCATTCCTGGGACACATGGCATCAGCCTTCCTTTTCTCTGGGAAGAAGGCTTCTGTCTTGGATGTGATTGTTCATCTCCCTGTTCCCTTACCTAATTCATTGGCATGGGTATTCTTAAGCCTTCTCCTGAAGAGACCCTTGGGTGACCAGCTGGTCTTTGCCTGTCTGCCACTCTTCCTCCTGCATCTTGCAGGCGAGAGTTCTCTTCACTCTGAGAAACCTGTGACTTTTGTCTGCTCCCAGAGCAGTCACTTGAAGTGCCAGTGCTGTGGCCTCTGAAGAGGACTGAGCCACACAGGTGGCCAGCTTCAGTAGTCATGGTTTAAACCTGGTAGACCTTAGCAGGTTTGCTATACTGCAGTTTTATATTTTGAGTTTAAAGTTGACCCACACACACACCCTCCTTTGAATCTGCTTTGTACTTGGCTGCCGAGAGAGAAGCATGGGCTGAAAAAAGTGTGTTCCTCCCCCTTCCTTGCCCTTTTCAGTGTAGTCCATCCTTCCTGCTTCCCTCCTCCATCCTTCCTGCTTCCCTCCTCCATCCTTCCTGCTTCCCTCTTCCATCCTTCCTGCTTCCCTCCTCCATCCTTCCTGCTTCCCTCTTCCATCCTTCCTGCTTCCCTCCTTCATCCTCCTCCTTCCCTTTTCAAACCTCACTCTCTTTCCTTCTGGTTCTTCCACCAGACCATTTTCCAAATCTACATCAAAGGTACCTCACATGTTGGTATCTGATAATATCTGTCTCTTCTCTTACCAGAGGAGAGACCTTTTATTTTTAAGATGACTACAGACCTATTTTTAGATAAGTTTTCAGTACAATTTTGAACTACAACTTTTTTAACAAAACATCTTCCAGTATTAGGAAGGTTATTTTAAAAAAACATATCCCTAGGCAAGTCTGCTGTCTTCACTGTCCTTTGTGTCTCATAGTTTCTTCTGAGCGCCTTCCTGTGCTCAGGTTTGGGGGCTCTTTGGAGTGTAGAATGGGTGGTTTGTGAAACTGGACCAGTCTGCCCTGCTATGAGTTGTTGACAAAAACTGCATTCCTTTCCTTTACCTGTTTGCTCTCTTGCTTCTCCTCCCCAACCCACTCTCCTGGTACTGTGGACTGACACAGTGATCCCAGGAGAGAGACCCTGATAGACAGGTTTCTGCATCCGTCCTCCTAAAGGAAGACAGTACAGCAGCCACTGGTGTCCTGGGAGTTTCTGGTTGTATTGGATGTCTATCTAAGCCCTCTTAGTAAGATTTCAGATCCCATTGACTGGGAAAGAAAACCATTTGTTTTTCCTTTGAACCATGGAAAGACCCTATTTTGTGAAGACTTTAGGAAAAAGGAAGGAAGGACATCTGCAGAACTTGGTTTTGTTTTCTGCTACACAATGTGAATAGCTCGGACTGCAACCCTCTGTGACGGTCGCTGTCTCAGGAATAAGCTGGGTCTCCAATGTTTGGGAATTCTTGGAGTCTCCAAGTTGATAATCAGAAGAGTTTTATTTCTTTGTTAAATGTATCTGTTATGTTTTCAATTAAACTCCAAATTTTATTTCCTGGAGTCTTGGGAAAAGTTGTGCTGCCAGTGGCATGAGCGGCTTGCTCAGGACCTCTGTACCCTGGAGCTTCATTCTTCAGGAGCAAGGCTCATGGTTCTTCGCACACTGGTGGTGGCACCCTGTGGACTCTTGGCCCCAGCTGCAGTGAGGAGGTGTGAGTGTGCAGAGCACCTGCTCCCTCATTGAATGGGGGTTTGCAGCAGAGTGGCCTCCTGGGCCCACAACTGGGAAGGCTGTTGAGTAGGATCGAGAAACTTACCCTTTTCTTGCCATCTTGGGGAGCCTGCATGTGCACCCCTTCCCCTCAATCAGAAGACATATCTAGTATTCCTTGAAGTGTCACCTGTATGGTACAGGAGGCTTTTAGCCTTATGTCCTCTGCCAGGACCCCTCACTGCTTGGTGCAGGCCTTATATGAAGGTCACCACTACCCATTCTTTGACCTCCATAAATCAGCATTATAAGATGATTGCACAAGACAAGAAATAAGCTTCCAACAGAAGGCATCTTTGTGCCATGCCTCATGAGCCATTTTCTAGTAAGCAGGGTCCAGTGGGGGTTACCTCTGGGTGTTCAGAGAATCTCACAGCTGGAGACCTAAGTGGAGGACATCTACCAGCCTCCCACCTACCTGAGTGGGACAGCTATCTTAGTAAGGGTCTGTGCCATTTCTATGAAGGATATGTGTCTGCGCTTGGGACAGTCAACCTCCATGAGGAAGAACCTCCAGCCCTAGCAGGGGACACACCAGCAGTGCCCTTCCTTCTGAGTTCCCAGCCCTCATGTTCTGCTGAAGTAGGAGTTTCCTTGCCTTCTCCAGGGCACTGGAGTGGAAAAGCTGGCTTCTAAGCAAAAGTTTATATGAGTTGTCTACTGCTGTGTAACAAATTACCTGCAAGCCTAATGTCTTAGAGAAGTGAACACGACCTGTTGGTGTCTCTGAAACAGGGTTGGGGACTGCTTAGCATGGGGCTTTAGCATAGGGTCTCATGAAGACGCATCTTGGTCACTCCCCAGATGGGTTTCTGTTGGGTAGGTATCATGCCATAGCACCTGGCTTCCTCCTGAGTGACTGACCCCAGAGAAGGGGGTAGATAAGAAAGTTGCAGTGCCTTTAAACCACCATGCCCGTAACAGGAGGAAAGTAGTCCTCAGGAAAGTGAGGACAGCCACAGCCATAAGCTGGGTGCACATTGCTATCAAAACAGCCCTGTAAGGACCAAACTGAGATAAAAGACAGACTTCTCTTTCCCCCAAAGCTACCCGTTTGTCTTAAGAGAAGTGGCAGGAAATGAAGATTACCAGATCCATTGCATCCTGTCTGCCTGTCTTCTCAAGAATGCTTGCATTTGCAAGGTTCTGAGGTTGCCTCTTTAAGCGTCATTTACCCCTCTGTCTTTAGTCCAGAATTGACAAAAGGAATTGGGGGCATGTCTGTGCAGCCACACAAGCTTTTTTTTTAACTGGAGCAGGGCTTGCCAGATAGGAAGCAAAGGATGTTGGATGTTAGGTTCTTGAGCTGCAAAACAGAAAGCAGTTCATGGCCAGGTGCTACCTGAGTCTGTGCATTGGTCAAGGTGTCCCACCCAGGGCAACTTCTCCTTAAGCCAGGGGCACCTGAGAATGCAGATGTCTATATGTGCTTGATTGCCATGGTCAGTGCAGCATGCTAAGTAGCCCATTGCCTCCTGGGCATGTGCTCTTAAAAAGCAGCAGTCTTGTTTTCACCTGTAGGAGGAGCTTAAGAGGTAGCTCAGATCTCATGGAATGTCTGCTTGTTCCTGCTAGCCATTCTCCCCATCCTTAGATGGAGGCTCTTGTTTGAATTGGTGCTGTCTTTTCTAGCATTTTCTTTTCTGTAGCCATACTTGTTTAGTATGTACTTCAGGTACTAGTGGTGGGTGGGTTTCCTTCTAATCTGAAGGGAGTGGGGGGGATGGGAGCTCCTGTGTTGCTGTCTCCTTGGGCCTCTCAGACCTTGACAATTCGGTTGTGTTCCACTGAGAGTCTATCCAGCCTGCTTGTATAGACAGACTGCCACTGTGAGTTGGGCACAAGAATAAAAGACTCAGGTGTTGGCAGCCATGTTTCAGGGTTGGTAGCTCCTTCCCATCTCCATCTTGGGTGCTGGATGCTTGAGGGGGTGTGGCACCCTTTTTGTTTCCTCTAGAGGAAAGGCACCACTGTCTTCATGTAGTTCTTTAGTGTGTTTTCTGGACTCCATGCCCACGGCACCTATTTATTAATGCGCGAAAACCCAATCACTGACCCATCCTTACCGTGGAAGGTGGGATTTGTAGTGGAGGAACACCGTTTCTTCTTGGAATAGAGGGTTCTGTCTGAACTTGTGAGTAGGGCATGATTACCCACAGCTCCTTGCTGGTGACAGGCTTTTAGTGACGGGAATTTGGGTTCCGGCAGTTGGGGCAGCCCTTCGGTGCGTATCATCCAGGCGTGCTTCCTGCTCTGGTAATGGTTTCCACGTTAGTGGTGGGCTTGATTGAAGCTAGCTCACAGAAACTTGACTGAAGACTGTAAGGATGACTTACAGATCCTTATCTTTCCAGTTGATCAATCAAGATACCTTCCCTACCCCCTGAAACTGTAGCTTTACCTTAGGCAGGTCCTGGAAGCTGGTTCCTGTTGGCAGAGCTTAACTATCAAAGTCTTCGGGTGGTCTGTGGATTCTCTCTGCTTGCTCGGCTCTTCCTGTAGCCCTAGTGGGCCATACTGTGTGCCAAGTAGGAAAGACTACTGAGCTGAACCAGTTCCGAGTGGATACAAGCGCCTGTTTACCTGTCTGAGGTACAAGGGTGGCAGCGAGAGGAAGCTCCCACCAGGGCTTCAGACCAAATGCAGGGCATTGCAAACAATTCCGTGAATCCAGCACAGAAGGCCCATTCTTGCCTCTATATCCCCTTCCTCTCCGTTTCAGTCTTAAAAACTGCCCAGCCCAGGCCTGGGGGTTATGACTGGAGGATAGGACATTGGGGACACCAGCAGGACCACACTGGCTCACGCCAGTGCCTTTGCTCCACTTCATGGCACCTGGGCCAGCTCCAGAATGCCTCAAAGAAGACAACGTGAAGAGCCCGTGGACTCCGATTCCCAGTTGTCCGGTTTAAGAGTCTTGGTGTTTTCTGATAGACCCCCCTGTTCACTGCTGCAGCCTCAGCCGTGTGGAATGGAGTTTGAGAGGCTGCCAGCGCTTTCCTTGGTCCTCCCACTTTGTTCCCTTGATGTGCTGCCCCTCACCTCCCTTCATTCACTGTCAGCAATGGTCAGTGGCAGTTTCCATGCGATCCTAAGGCAGTCCTGTGTGAGTCCATGACAGTTCGTTTTCTTACTGTCCTTCCAAGCTGGCAGGTGTTTGGAACAAGGGAAAAATTCTCACCAACGGTTGCTGTTACAGTTAAATAAAGACCTTGAATATTGGCTTGGTGTTTTGTGGTGCTGAGCATTGAACCCTGCCTTTTTGTTGTTGTTTTCGTTGTTTGGTTTTTGTTTTTCAAGACAGGGTTTCTCTGTAACTTTGGAACCGTTCTGGTCTCCTGAATGCTGAGATTGAAGGCGTTCACCACCATCACCCACCAAATCCAGCATTTCACATAGGCTACAGTCTCACTCTACCACAGCCAGCCTGATTTTAGCATGTTACGCTTTTTGATTATTTTTGAGACAGGGTCTTCTCGCTGTGTAGCTCTTTTTTTTTTTTTTTTTTTTTGGTTTTTCGAGACAAGGTTTCTCTGTGGCTTTGGAGGCTGTCCTGGAACTCACTCTGTAGACCAGGCTGGCCTCGAACTTCTCATATTTACCAGACTGCCCTTGGATACAGAGATCCACAAGCCTCAGCCTCCCAAGTGCTAACTAAGATCAAAGGCTTGTATCAAGACAGGATTTCTCTGTGTAATAGCTCTGGCTGTCTCTGTAGACCAGGCTGACCTCAAAAAGTTGGAAGCTGGGCTGGAGAGCTGTCTCAGAGGTTAAAAGCACTGGCTGTTCTTCCAGAGGTTCTGAGTTCAGTTCCCAGCAACTACATGGTGACTCATAACCATCTGTAATGAGATCTGGTGCTCTCTTCTGGCCTGCAGGCAAACATGCAGACGGAACACTATATATAATAAATAAATAAATCTTAAAAGTTGGAAGCCAGCCTGGGACACACCAGTGTCCAGTGATTATTCACATGTGGCAAGTCTTAGCTCAAAGGAACCAGGGAGAATAAGCCATGGACCACTGATACTCTGGTCCTGTGAGTAAACACAGGAGCTTGATGGTCTCTCCCTACTCTGAGAGGGTCACCCTGGCATATGCGTCTTGCTCTAGGCCAGTTGTTCTTGACCTTCCTGATCCTGCAACCCTTTAATATAGTTCCTCATGTTGTGACCAAACCATTTTAATTATTTTCATGGATATTTTGTAACAGTAATTCTGCTGTTAGGAATTGTAAGTATCTGATGTGCATGGATGCAACCGTATGGACCTAGGACTAATCGGAAGTTGGAGCTGGGATAACCTGCAGAGCTTTTCCTGGGGATGGGGGGTTGGGATCTTCCTGCTGTAAAAGGGCTCTTTAAGGCAGGCCAGGAGTTGGTGGCCCATGCCTTTAATCCCAGCACTGGGGAGGCAGAGGCAGACGGATCTCTGTGGGTTTGAGGCCAGCCTAGTCTACTGAGCGAGGTCCAGGAAAGGCTCCAAAATAATACAGAGAAACCCTGTCTTGGAAAAAAAAAGGTGGGGGCTCTTAAGGTAGAGATAAACCCAGGTTACTGTGCAGAGGGTCACAGCTCTCCTCTGTAGTATCTTACGTCTACTACTGCCAGACCCATCTGCTTGTCGGGGTGTGTGTGTGTGTGTGTGTGAGGCAGGTATTGTTTCTGCTCTTGGCCCTGCTTACAGTTGCAGAACACCGGACCTTTGTCCTCAGAGCAAATAACTATTAAAGCCCCCACATTCAGGTAGGACAGTCCTCAGAGACATTCCTTTGGGATGTCCAAGGCATCCTGCCAAGTTATGGACCAGATCCAGAGCCATTGTTAGACGATGGCGCCTAGAAACCCCCAGCCAGGGCAGCACAGTGGTCCTGCAGCTAGCACTCCAAGCAAGGTCAGCACATGTAGTTGATCACTTCGTGCCCACATCCCAACTTGACGTAGGCAATACCTTGTCACCAAGGAGTTTCGTCACAAGTTCACTGGACAGCCAATTATAAATACAAGCTGGAGCCACAAATAGCTTGGCCTTTGGCTCTGCTGGCCATGCCGTCTGGATGAGTAAGAACTGCAGGCATCTGTTTCCTAAAGCCTCCAGAGGCCACTTCACTCCAAGAACTTAAGCTCCATAGAGGGCTTGAGTCCTGGAAGTCTTTGGTCTAAGCTAGGTTAGCCTAGTCCTCTAGATGTCATCCAGGTGCCCTGGATCTCAGCGCTGCTGTGGCATCCAAGAGGCCTTTCTGGGGTAGCATTCAGGAAAGCAGCTGGGACAAATGAACCTCATGAAGCCGTTTTCAAAAGTAAAATTTGGTTTGGCACGGTGGTAGAGGTGAGTACTCCTAGTGTTGAGAATCTAAAGCAGAAGTGCCTGGAGTTTGAAGCCAGTCGAAGCTAGCGTGAGATCCTGATTCCAACCCCAATGCTGAACACTGATGAACTGCTCAGCTCAGAGCTTGCTTGGACCCAGCCTTGCTGCTGAGCCGTGGGCCTTCGGCTTTGTCAAGCCCAGGCTAGGTTATAGCCAACCCAGTCTCACTGCCTTGATTCAGTCAAGACTGGAGTAAAGTGGATGGGCACCCTGGGAAGCAAGCAGGAGGGAGAATGCCTGCATGCCCTTCATCCAAAGCAGCCCCATCCCCCAGTCAAAAGAACAAGCAGTTATTCATATCTTTAGTGACATAACTTAATGCCCCCAACCCCCAGGATTTCTCTGTGTAACAGCTCTGATTGTCCTAGAACTCTTTGTAGACCAAGCTGGACTCAAATTTAGAGATCTGCCTGCTTCTGCTTCCCCAGTGCTGGGATTAAAGGTTTTATTTGGGGGGGGGTTGTCATATAAGTTTCTTTAGAAAACTGAGTTTCCTTCTGCTGTGCTGCCATGCATACAGTTAGGCTCCCCTAAGAAAATCATTTCAACAGGGCATAGCAGGTCTTTTTTTTTTTTTTTTTTTTAAAGATGCAGGCCAGAAGAGGACACCAGATCTCATTACAGATGGTTGTGAGCCACCATGTGGTTGCTGTGAATTGAACTCAGGACCTCTGGAAAAGCAGCCAGTGCTTTTAACCACTAAACTGTCTCTCTGACCCCAGCATAGCAGGTCTACCTTAAGGCATAAGGACTCAGAGGGCAATCCAGTTGGGGACCCAGGGTCCTCCCTTTCATGTTGGTTTTTGTTTTGAGACAGGGTCTCTCTATGTAGCTCTGACAGCCCCGACTGAGCCACAATCATTCCTGGGCCCTTAGAGGCACACCCTACAAAGCCACTTTTTTCATAAGGGGAGGTCATGCAGTGAATGCCCCACCCTCCCACCCCCCCCACCCCCCACGTATCACAGAGCCACTCTGCACAAGCTGTGACCACAACCCAACAACCCCTGCTGGATCAGAACCTTAGGACCCCAAAACACACATTGAGAACCTGAGGTGAATTCTCACTGACTTTTAATAGACTTGGGTTCTGTCTGCCAAGCAGACGTCTGACAGCTCTGGCTTCTGCAATCTACCATGACCAGTCCCTCTTGGACAAGTGCCCACCTCTCTGGTCAAAGGCATCAACTGGCCCTGATAGAACTGGACAGTGGCTTTATTGTTAGAGAACTCATTAGCAGAGATCAGGGAGCCCCTGAGGAAGACATCACATTAATGTCAGCAAGCCAGAAAGTTGTGGGGCTCCCCCTAGCCCATCTTGAAGCAGGGAGAGCCAAATGGATAGTTTTAATCTAATAAAATTATACTGATCTTTAAGGAGAGACAGTGGGTCACAGACCATCTTGAAGAATACAGGAAAGCTACAGATAGCATCAAAAATAAATACATAACATACCCCAGTCTTTACAAACCATTTCAAGGGCTTCAAAGTTTAAGAAGCACTTGCACAGTTCATAACCCCCGTTTCCAGGGAGCCCAGCCAGCCCCTGCAAGGCTTCTCCATTCCTGCCTCCCTGCAGTAGCTTCTGGCCTGGCAGGTCTAAGGCCCCACTGTGCACATGGAGCAGACCTTCCTCTTCAGCTCCGGCAGGCAGAGCCCTTATTCCGTTTCTGCTCCCTGGATAGACACTGTGGTGTCTCCCCTGAGTTCGCTAGCATTGTGGAGAGCAAGCTGACTCAGCACTCCCCCTGGCTCTGTCAGAGGCATCCACATTCCTCCACAATCATGTCCTTGTGGTGTTCCAGGAGGACCCTGCCATTGTCCACATAGAGCATGCTCAGAGGCTTGGTCTTCACAGGAACACAGCACGTGGAAGGGACCCGGTGGGGCTGGTAGCGTTTTAGCAGGCTCTGAAAGGGAGGAAGGAGGGAGGGTCAGTGAGCTCACACCGCTGGGGCAGAGGCAGAATTAGTATTTCTGGCCAAAGTGAAGAATCAGGTCTGGTACAAAAATAGAAAATTATTTTCATAAATAATAGAATGCTGCATGTGCAACCAACTCATGAACCCCCCCCCCCGCCTGTGAAATGTGCTATTGGCTTTGAAATAGACAGATTTTGGAGAAGCAGCAACTTAATGTCACACAATCAATGAGCAGGAGTAGGAAGGTTGGTCTAGTCCTCAAATCCAATTTTGAATATCCTTTCCCAGAGTGTCAGAGCTGGAGGAGCAGAGATCTTTTCTTCTATTCCCATCACCTGATAGGAACAAGGAAAAGCTGGGGATGTGGCTTAGTTGGTAGCATGTTTGCCTAGCATGCACGAGGTCCTGGATCTGATGCCCAGTATTGTAATGACTGCGTGTGGTAATGCATCCCAGCAATAGGGGAGTGAAGGCAAGAGGGTCAGGAGTTCAAGGTCATCCTGGGCCTTGTAATGAGGCCTGATGTGTGCGTGCATGTGCGTGTGGGGGAGAGAGCTCCCAGGGTAACCCCACAGAACAGGACGCAGTGCTGTGACAATCTACATTCTCACAGGAGCAAACATGGAGGTGCTTGAATGACCAAACCCAGTTATCTCATGGCAATCCTTGAGCCTCATTGCCTGTCTAGCAGCCTGTTCCATTCCAGACATCCTACCTGTATATAGGCGTGGTTGGTAGGGTGAAACTCCTCCCCGACAGGGTTAGGACATTCGCCCTCACAGCGATAGGCGTTGTACTGTTTGGGGTAGATGATCCAGGAACCCCAGCCAATCAGGTTGAAGTCCACCTGGAACTTGACCCTCCTACAGAGTTGACTCCTGTCTGGCAAGTGATGCCTCCGGTGCCTTCTGCCCCATCGGCCCCTCTCTCCA